GTTCATTATTCATAAAGCAAAATAATTAGGAAAATAAAATTTGTATCTGGGGTACTAGCACTTAATATTTACCAAGTCATAGAGAACTCTGGTTCACTTTATAGCTAAACGATAATCTGGGAAGTCTCACAATCTTCAGAATGAACAATGGGGCAGGAGAAAAAGGCTTGGCAGTTGCTGCTCTTGCAGAGGACCAAGGTTGGTCATTAGTTCACAACTGCATATAACTCCAGGTCTAAGAGATCTGATACCTCTTTTTGGCCTCCATAGGTATCTGAATGTAGTATGAACACAGAGATGCATACATGAAAATAAAACACATCTTAAAAAACCAGAAGAATGAACTATAGCACCAAATCAAAGATAATCACTATAAGGCCTGAAAAGCTGTGCAGGGTTTCACTCCATAGTGATTAGCTCCATTTCTGAATGCATAAAAAGCATTCACAGTTTACACTTCTAATCTAATCAGCTAATGTAAGCTACTTTTAAAGGCAACCTTAAATTGCAGTCATGTAATTACTACATTTATGACTGGATTTTTAGTGTGGTGGACTAATAAATGAGAAACATGCTTTCCACCAACAGTGAAAGAGAAACATGATTTCCTATATTGTGCCCCCTAGTCAATCAACTTTAAAACAAGAGAGATGGGAATGGAAATGACATCTATAATACATTCAAATAGTTTATTCAATAAATACATACATATATGTGAATATGTATGTACACACACACCATCAGAGATTGCAGAAGTTAAAATACAAAGAAGCCAGATGTGGCAGCTCACTCCTGAAATCCCAGCGCTTGGAAAATTCAAACATGATGAATGCCAAGAGTTCAAGGCCAGCGTGGGAACAGAGTGAGAGCCTGTTTCAAAAACCAAAGTAAAGGAACAATTGAGATTAAACTCTTAATTATAAAACTATGATGAATATATAATGGAATACAGAGGGTGTTACAGATTCCTGGAGTAGGTGAAATCTGAGTAGTTTTACTCAACAGGAATCAGCCAGGCACAATGAGGAAAGGAAAGAGAAAAACTGAAGCCAGGGCAAAAAAATTTACAGCAATTCTTTTTTTTTTTTTTTTTTTTTTCCCCAAACTATAAAACAGCATGTATTTAATTTAGAGACCAGGGGAACAGAGATTGACTTTCTGTCTCTGTACTCAATAATTATGCCACACAAAGAGCCTGGGACTTTACCATAAACCCAAAGAAGAATCCTTGAAGAATTTACAAACAGGCCTTGTGTAGATAGATACACATTTAAAAAATGTTTCTAAGTCAAGTCTGAATAAAGGAATGTAGAAAAGAGGCATATGAAGAGGAACATTACTATAATAATTATCTGATAAAGAAATGAGGCTATAGCCAAGTAAAAAGTGAAGTAGTAAACAGGGCTTACACAGGAAAAAGCAATTACACAATGCAAAAGTGAGCATATCAGGCTTCCACCTAACTCTTGGAGTGGCTATTACTAGAGTCCCATTTGTTTATGAAAGTTCGGCGGTTAGTAGGCAGTAAAGGGAACAGTATGTGCTTCGGGTTAGGTTGGGACCATGATGGGCTCTGTTTATGTGCTTACTTCCAGATGCAAGGTGATCGAAATACAAGCAGTTTTCTACAGATAGGAAACTGAAAGGTCCAGGTATAACGGTATTCGCCATGTATAATGGTATGTACCTCTAGCCTCACTTTCTTGGGAATTAATTACTTGGGAAGATGAGCTGGGAAGATTATTTGAATCAAGTATTCAAAGTCATCTCTGGCAACATGGTGAGATTCAATCTCTCCCATCTCTATGTAGGCTGTCCTGGAACTTGTTATGTGTAGACTAGGCTGGCCTTGAACTAACAGAGATCCACCAGCCTCTGCTCCACTAGTGCTGGGATTAAAGGTGCGTGCCACCTTAATGGGTGAGTCCATTACTTAAATGGTATTTACTTGCTGCCAAACACTTTATCCTGACCACCAGCTTCAGCCTGCCTGCCTATCTATCTATCTATCTATCTATCTATCTATCTATATCAACTATAGCATATAAAACCCTAGTCAAAGTTCTGTACTATCTGCATCTTTCCCCTTCCATTCTACATTAGTAAGTACTTAAAAGTTTAAAAAAAGGCCACTGTCACGGTGTTGTGTGGGTTTTTTCCCCTAACAGTCAATTTCCAAGGATGTACATGCTCAGTAGTCAATGAAGTCTGTAATAATATCTAACGCTAATGCATACAGCTAATACAAAAGTGTGAAAATAAACAATAAATATTAAATGTACCATAAGATGCTGAATGTGCTTGAGCTTAAAATGTTTATATTGAATAAAGAAGGTATACTTAAGTAATTTAGAAAGACTTTGCAAGGATTCAAGCCAAAGATCTTTATTAGACTTCAATTAAACATAAGACAATTAATGTCCAAGTATTCTAGTGAATCAACAAATAAGCCAAATTATAAATGTAATTTTATTAAAATGGCAAACGATGAGAAAGTCTTAGAAAAAGGCCTAATGTTAAGGTGTGACAGAAAAATTCTTCAAAATTAACTCATATTATCACAAGCCACTGAATTATACACTTATTTATCTTTGCAATATTAAGTACTGATGTGTACATTTTTGTAGTTTGAGACAGGATTTCTTGGTGCAACAGCCCTAGCTGTCCTGGAACTAGCTCTACAGACAAGGCTAGCCTCAAATTCACAGAGATCCACCTGCCTCTGCCTCCCAAGTGCTGGGATTAAAGGTGTGTGCTACCACTGCCTGGCTAAATAGGACTTTTATAGTGCAGAATATAGAGTTGTTAATAAAATCACTAAGGTGTTGGGCTGGAGGTGTAAATCAGTAGAGCTTGCCTGCCACACACAGGGCCTTGAGTTCAATTCCCAGGACGGAAGAGGAACGTACCTTCCAAACACCACACCACTAAGTTACAGGCTTTATTTATAATGTATTAAATACCTTCATATTGTAATGAAAGCACCAGTCATTTATCTCCACAACACTTTCCATCATTTGAAACTGAAGATCTGTATTCATTTAATAGCATTTTATTGTTTCTCTTAACCCCCTTCCCCACCCATCAACACACAGAACCTTAGGGTTTCATATGTTTAAAATAAGACGAAATTCTTACCAGATTATGTATTATGTTCGTTAAGGTCCAAGCAACAGAAACACTGAAGAAGGGGATGCTGAGCAATACAATATGAAGTAAGCCAACTCCCAAAGCATATGTCAGCCACATACCACGGCTGTTCATTACACGAGTATTGGGGTTTACCTCACTGTGGGCAACTCCAACATTCATGTTTGCTCTGTAGGAAAGAAACAAACCAACAGTGCTATAGCTGGAAATCTAAATACCCACAATTCCTCATTCTGACGAGGAACACACAACTTTAAAACACTGTCTACAGATGCTGATATAAGCAATGAGGAATCCTCACTGGAGGATTTCCAAAAGTTGAGGTCAGCCTGAGTCACATAACAAGGCCCTATCTCAAATTTCTTTAACAAAAAAGAAATATATATATATATCTATATATATATCTATATATATATCAGAATGAAAGAAACTAAATATAAACAGGATAAACTAATACTAGTTTTTAATTGTGCAAGTTAGAAGGTTTCATTGTGGTATTTCCATACATGCCTTTACCATGTTCAAGACCTATTCCTCTTTATTACCCCTCTCCACTTCCCTTTCCCTGGTAGGCTAGCCCATTTTCTATTTTCAGGTCATCCTTTTGATTTGTTACTTTTATTAGTTTTCCATATACTTTAAAAAGGTGGAGGGAAGAGTCACCTGCCCAGTTTTCATGACTAGATGCTAACAAGTGATGAAACATTTTAACTATAGGGTTTAAAAGCTTTTTTTTTTTCTTCTTTGAAACAAGGTCGACTCACAGGTATACTCCTGCTTCAGCCTCCCAAATGGTGGAGTTAAAAGTGTAAGCCACTAATGTCTGGCTATGTGCCTCCTTTTGAATAGTGAACTTAGAAGTAACATGCTGTTGATGTAATGTGAAAACTTTACTTGGTTAAGGATTCAAATTGTAACACAACTAGGTTAAAGCCTTGAGTCTTTCTCAATGTTTCTTTAGCCAAACTCTCCAACTGGTTTTTCTTTATCTCACCCCTCGTCGGCTTTCTCCTTTTATGTTCAGGAAGAAACACTAAAGAACTGGTATTAGTGTTCGGCCATCGTGAGCATACAATTTATTGGGGCCTAAGAGTTTAGTTTGTTACAATCAAACTGAGGTGGGTATTGTCTGAGAGCGGGAAAATTGCTAGAAGAACATTTCACCTCCCATTCCAAAGTACACAGAACCCTTCTATTGCAGAATTTGTAGGAAGGCAATTTCACCCGGCTAAGCAAGTGCTTCTAGAGTGTAATGTTTTTTCGGCTTCTCGAGATCTACTGAATAGGCAATGATGAAAGTTACACTGTGGGAAAGTCTCGCGCAAATTTTGCTTCTATAAAAACCCAGCGTCTATAATGCATTTTAAAATGTTAATACTTCAAACATCCCACAGAATGTAAAAAAAAAAACGCTGCAAGTAGGCCTCACATGGCCACGTAGGCCAGCCTAGAAAACCTTTCCCAGCAGGTGTGCGGCAAACAAAGAATTTCCTACGGGGCCGGGCCTTCCCCGCCTGCGCACAGCCATCGCCAGCTCCCACCGCCCCTGTCGCAGCCCCGCGGCGCGACGACCGCGAAGAGCACCCGCGGCTACCTAGCCTGCGCAGCGCGAGCCGGGGACGTAGCGGAAGTCCGCTCTGCCGCAGGCCGCCTCGCAGCTCCCGGAGGCTTCGAGCTTACCTACCGCCAGCTCCCGGCGGCCCGCACGTCGCAGGACCAGCCCGGCGACAGCGACAGCGACAGTACGTCCTCACGCCAGAGCGCCACTGCTGCGCGGCGCCGCTTCCGGAAGCCTGCCAAGCCTCTCTCGCCAGCAGCCGATTGGCTGTCAAACGCGCCAATCCCACTTCCCATGGTGGGCGGGTCTAGGAGGCGCTCGAGCTCCGGTCCCTCCGAACGCGCGCGCGCGCGGCGATCGTGCGGGCGTCCCACTCGGGATCCTGCTGCTCGGCCTTGGCTGAAGCTCGCCGCGGTGGGTGGTGAATGCCTTTCCTCGCGCGAGCTAGAAGGTACTGTCACCACGATCGAGCACTCCCGGTGATGCTCGGGGAGGCTGGTGCCGCCTCCCGGGGCCAGGGGCGGACCTGCGAGGCTCGCGCGCCCGCGCATGCGAGTCAAGCCCTCGGGGCTGCTAGGCAGTAGTGGGAGCTCACTCACACGTGTGAGTTTTGTCTTGCTAGAGAGTGTAGCGGCTTGTAGTGCTGTGTGTTGTCACAAAAATCTATGGATTTGTGTTTATCCCTGATGGAAGTCACATGTAGTACACCCCGAAGAAATGTGAATACCACCTGAAGTTCATCTCACTAAGGAAGGAGAGGAAACGACTTGATCAATCCATTTTCTTTCCTAGTCGTATTTGAAATTACATTTTCTTTGCTGTGGTGATTTGTATTTATAAAAGTTTGTGATATTTACTTCAGAAGTAACGCTGGAAAACATTTTAAAGTTGGCAGAATGCTTGCACTTATGTGTAATGTCTTGTATTTGTTTTGGTTCTATGGAACAGTTGGGTTGGGTTTAAAATGTGTTGTTTTCTCCCTAAATTCTAAGTTCTCGAATCTCGTTTTGTAGATACAGTTTTCTCTTAACTGACTTTTCTTATTGTAGAACACTTACTGAACTGTTCATCTCCTTAAGTAGGCATAAACTCTTTTCTGACACTGCAGGTGTCCAGTTCTGTGACAAGTAACCTGGCATCACCCTTCTGCTTTTCAAAAGAGGTGCACATCCCTTAATATGACACATTCCAGAATATGTTGTTAACATCAAGTCTTAGTCCTCTAAGGGGTCTGAGCCAGGAGGAATGGCCAAATAAATAAAATAGCCTTTTATGGTTTTGAATTAAAATCAAGGAAGGAATGCCAAACTAAGGGTTTGGAATAGAGAAGAACTGTAGGAACTGACCCCCACATCCCAGAAAGAAGGGGTCATGTGTAGCAGGAGTTCCAATAGGTCTTAATAACAAAAACACAGTCAGATACTAGGAGGGAAAGTGAAAGATCACAGAGGCAGAGCAGCCAGCCACTAGAGAGTTTTTACCTCTACCAAGGCTCAGACCAAAGGGCCATCCTGTTTCCAGAATAGTCAGACTGAATGCAGACTCAGACTCTGAGCTCCTGTTTCCTCCTTATATTCCTCCCTAGTTCTGGTATTAAAGGGCCTCTATGGCTAACTAGTGTCGTGCTGGGATTAAAGGTTTGTGCCACCACTTCCTGACCTTTATGGCTAGCTAGTGTGGCTGCTGGGATTAAAGGTGTTTGCCACCACTGCCTGGCCTCTATGGCTGACTAGTGTGGCTAGCTTTGCACTCTGACCTTCAGGCAAGCTTTACTTGTTGGATCATAAACAAAATATCACCACGGTCATGGGATCCAGGGAATGCCACCACATTGAGATTAAGGGAGCTGTGTTGTGTAGTATGGCCAGTTTAGTGCACATTTGAAAAATGGGATGAAATTAGAAAGATAGGGCAGTAGGGAATTTGGACTTAACATGCTTACCAATTGAAAAATCTTCAAAAAAATTAAAGTAGGGTAGCAAGAATATTTAAATTATAGAAACAACTTATAAATGTTCAAGTCCGGATATTAATTAGGTAGTCACTGAAGTCTTTGAGAGGGGGAATACTAACGGGTTGACCAGCAGTTCTGGGAAGAGTACAGTTCTGGAAGGACAGAGGGAAGACCACAGTGCGCAGGTGGGATCCCTACAGCATTGCTGAAGTTTTTCATGTGCTTGCTTGGACACACATAGTATGCATCTGTCTTAGAAAGATTGTGATCTTGTTTCCATTGTCAAGCTCTTCAGTTCCACGTGTAATAGAGGAATGGGGGTGTGTTGCGGATCATAAAAGAGCCTATGAAGTTCTTATGTTGTGTTTTAATTGTATTACCAAATGGGAATTAAACAGAGAGAGAGAGAGAGAGAGAGAGAGAGAGAGAGAGAGAGAGAGAGAGAGAGAGAGAGAGAGTGTGTAGATAAAATTTATCCTGATAAATCAGGCCCTAGAGTCCAGAAAGAAGTTAGTAGGAGGTACACTATGCTGGGGATGGTGTGGAGGTCAGTGTAAAATTAAACCTATAGATGGAGGGAATTGAGACTGTGGCAACTTGCTAAGAGGGCAGGCACCTTAGTATTAAATTTATTCTTAGTGTCCCTGACATTAATCATGGACTGCTTACCAGGATTGAAGTACAGTAATTGCTCTTTATTTTTCTTTCCCTTTTTTTTCCTTTTGCATTCAGAGATACATATTATATGACCTTGCAGTCAAAACAGCTATGTAGGGGCCGGAGAGATGGCTCAGCGGTTAAGAGCACTGACTGTTCTTCCAGAGGTCCTGAGTTCAATTCCCAGCAATCACCTTGAATGAGATCTGGTGCCCTCTGCTGGCGATCAGGCAGAAAACTGTATATACATAATAAATAAAATCTAAAAAACAAAAAACAAAAAAACAAACAAAAACCCAAAACAAACAGCTATGTAATTTAGCTTTTTGACAAGCATCCTCTCCATGATGCCAGCCAAGTACTTAGGAATGTGGGAGAGAGAAGAGTGATTCCAGTGAGTGATCAGAAAAGATTGCCATGGCTGATATTGGAAGTGATTGATTAAGAGGAAGCTGGGTAGTGGGGTACAAATAGAGTTTGCTAGCAAAGGAAAATGAAAGTTCTTGACAGACTGTGGTGACCACCAACAGAGACAGCAAAGCTAAGTGGCAAGCATGAGAGGGCAAGATGATAAATAAAGTCTGCTTTACTGACACCTGAGGCAGCAGTGACAATTATTGTTAGAAATGCTGCTCTTGCTTTGAAAGAGGATGTCAGTGAGGAGCATACAAATGGACTTTGGGAGCCCACTCCACATAGAGGGATACTCTCTCAGCCTAGACACACAGGAGAGGTCCTAGGCCCTGCTCCAAATGATATGACAGACTCTGAAGATTCCCCCATGGAAGGTCTCACCCTCCCTGGGGAGCAGAAAGAGTATAGGATAAGGTGTTGGGGAGCAGGGAAGGAGGGAAGGGAGAGGGAACTGGGATTGACATGTAAAAGAAGCTTTTTTCTAATTTAAATAAAATGGAAGAAAAAATAACTGGAACATCTTATATGTTTATTGTATATATTCAGAAATTTTAAAATATGATCAATTATTAAATAAAAAAAGAAAAAAGAAATGCTGGTCTTGGGAAGACCAAAATCTCATTACATACAGATTTAGGTTGGGGTATTAAGTTACCTAAGAAAAGGGGAGAAATGTTGGGGAGTACTCACATTCCTGGGAAGAAAGCCAAGAAAGACAAAGATATCTGTGACAGATAGATGGAAATATCTGGGAAGTATGGTCCCTCATGGGGATATAGCGATGATACAGCATTTGTCTATCATGTATAAGACCCTGGTTTGATCCTAAATACCAAAACAAAGAAAAAAGGAGCATAGATCCCAGGAAAGGGTTTCTTCTTTCAGAGATCATTGTTGAATAGAATGGAGTTCTGTAAAGGTGGTTGTGGCTATAGCTGCTTGGAAACAGTTTAGAAATGTTTGCCGATAGGGGATTTGTAACAGTAGGCCAGGATACTTCCTCAAGCCTGGTCACACAGAAAAGGACAAAAGTGCCGGAATGAGAGGGCCAAGGGAAGGTATTTGGCTAGTTTTTGCTTTAAAGGCCAACTTGCTTGTAGGGAGGCTAGATAGACAAAGGGAGGAGAAAAAGTGTTGGTGTCTTTGTCTATTCCAGCTGTTAGAGCCAAGTACTGAGCACCAGGAAGCTGAGAAGCAACAGAAACTCCTTACAGTTCTGGAGGCTTGCATGGCTGAGATCCAGGCAGATTGTATAGCTGGTGAAGGACTGACTGCCTTGAGAGCCACAGAGAGAGGGCACCTCCTTCCTGTGTTTCACTGGATGCGAAGGGACCAAGAAGCCTCTAGAGCTTCCTCCAAGAAGCCTCTAGAGCTTCCTCCGTCAGCACTGTGTCCCAGTCAAGAGGCCTTCATTCTCATGACCTAATGTAATCCCAGCGGGCCCTGCTTGTTACTGACTTACAGAGAACAGAAATGTTCAGGCCACATGATTGGGTAGGAGAGAGGAGACTGACCAGATACTGCAGAGGGGACAAGGCAGGAAAGAATAATTTTATGGAACCACTGGACACAGGGGGATGGTGGCAAGATGCTGTGAATCACCATTATCTCTGTAAACTTGACTACGTAAAATTGGGGGAAAATTAGTGATTTGAACATTTGAAATGTTGTAGAGAGCAAGACAAAGAGATTGTGAAGACTTGCAGGACAGGTAAAGATCCACACGAGATTAAGTAAATATCCCAAACTTAGATTGGTGGGGTTCTTAGGGAGAGAAGACTTGAACCCCAGCCTACTGAGTGGATTGCTTTGGGTAGGGGTTAAGATGGCTGGGGGCTGGGGGCTGGGGGCTGTTCATTTAGTAATTTGAATGAACATAAGTCAGTCAAAGAATACACACCACTGTAACAAGTATCACCTTATCTCATAACCATATTGTGTTATACACTTTTATTTCACCTAATACAGCCAGGATACCCTTTGTGCTATAATCAGGGTGAGAGTTAATCACATTTTCTGTTTTTTTGTGCTGAGTTTGAAATCCATTGTCTATTAGCCATTTCAAGTGCTCACAGCTTTCCATGTGGCTGTTGGCTGCCATGCTGTCTTATGTCTCAGGCCAGTCTGAAGTCTTTGAGGAGGCAGAAGGCATTTTCTATCTGTGACAGCATCAATTTGTGTGAATGTTGTGATAATGGAGATGTAGCTAACTGTCCTGAGTTCTCCCCAGTGAGAAAGCTTTTGGCCCTGGAGACCTCTAAACAGTTATCGAGAGATAGTTATTCATAACCTTCTCTCATCAAACAGCTTACCCCGAAACTAAATCAAATTATTTGTTAGGTAATTGTTAGTAAAAGAAAAGAATCCCCACTATTCTTCTACATAATGATCTCACATTAAAATATGGGACATTTGCAGTCTGTCCTGATGACAAGGCTTATAATTCCCACTACTTGGGAGGTTGAGGTAGGAGAAAGGCAAGTTCAGGTCCTGCCTAGACTACAGAGTGAGTTCAAGACTAGCTTGGGCAGTTTAGTGAGACCCAGGCTCAGAAAGGAAAAAGGCATATGTGAAGCCCTGGGTTCAATCCCCAGTACGACAAATAATAATTGCATTTTTCAGCCTTTATCTTTTATATGGCATTTTACTCCCCCAGTAGTATCTTGCTGTTGAGCCCAGGCTGCTGTGAACATTTCATCTTCCTCGGTCTTCCAAGGCTTACGGTTATAGCTATGTGTGCTGCTGTGTCTACTCCCTTTCTTCTCTGCTAGTACACAAAGTAATGTGTATTACACCCGCCATGGCACCCCCATCCTCGGCTATCCTCTCCTGTACCTCCTTCATGCCTGTTTTTATATATGCTTTTTAAATTTGATTCTTGCACAACAAACCAGTAAGGTATCATCCCCATTTTCATAGGTGATAACTTGTTTTTGCAGAGGATCCTAAGACCTGGGCTTTGGCCTTTGGTCTGTTTTTCTGCTGTGCTAATCAGCTTTGTCTTCCTTATGTGTAGCAAAAAATATTTGAGGATTTTAAGAACCCAGAACGTTAGCCTCTTCCTACTTCATTGCCAAAATTCTGTGTAATTACTATAATGCCTGCTCCCCCTTGCTGTGCAGTTACTAGCTCTTTACATTGACAGTTGACCTGAGAAAGAACCGGAGGTTCACCTGTGGGTTTCACACTTTGTATTATCATTTTCTTTAAAACTAAATTCTATGGGTTCAGTTCATCGTATGAACATGTAGTTAGTCATGTGGAATTAGAGGGTTTTTTCCCCCAAAGTTATTTTGCTCCCCCCTCCCCCGCAAGAACAAAACCAAAACTTAACATTCTAGAGGAGTCACTTGTTGTCAAGCTACTCATATCATCCTGAAATATTTTCTGAAGTTAGGCATGAATGAAGGCAGATACAAAGCTCCCTCCTTGTCATATGTATGCCTGTCACTCAGGAGGTACAAAAAGGAGAATCTCTGTGTGTTTAAAGCTAGCCTGGTCTACTCCATGAATTTCAAGCTGCAGGGCTACATGCCAAAAATAGCAAATCCCCCCCCCCCCCCCCCCCCCCACCCCCCCCCCCCCCCCACCCCCCCCGATTTTGGGGATTTTTATTGTTGTTGTTTCTGCCTTGAACAAAGAGTTTTGTGTACACGTTGGTTCATCTGTGTAGGCTTTGAATGCCTACACAGATTTTTCACAGCATGGTTAAAGACATGTTTTAGGCCTAATAACACAGGAGGTAGTTATTTGACATGTCTCAGGTCTGACTAATTTGTATTAAATGTGATTCTAGAGTCTTGATAGCCAATCCAAAGGAGCTGCATGGACTAAAAAGGAATTATGGAGCTTCAAAATATTTGCATGACTAATGATGTACCAGTGAAGCTGTTGAGTCACATGGCTGAATCATTATCCACACCCCAAGGTGACAGCATCATTGCCAGCCAGGCATATCACACATTACATTCATTTCAGCAGTTCTTACCATTCTTCAATTATTGACAGCAAAATGGTGATTTTTTTTTTTTTTTTAATGAAGTCTCTGTGACTCTACTGCCTTCAGTGACTCAGTGATCTGATGTAATGACTTAGGACCAGGACATTTTAAGGAGATATATTTGAAGTAAAAGTTTTTATCTAACTTTTGAAAAGTAATCATGCCCAATCACTCAGCCATTCTGTTTCTATCCCTTCTTATTACCTAAAAACATCTTCCAAGATGAATGATGCATATTCACAGAGTTGAGGCCAAGGGAAGTTTGTAGCCACAAATGAGATGAGTTCATCAGACTTTAATAAACAGGGTGCTGTGACTGCTGGGGGAAGTGGCAGTAGCCTGAGGTTGAACCCTTGTAAGGTAGTAGATGTCCTTGCAGTACTTTTTGTGTCAGGTTGTAGTGGCCTCTGAGCAAGCTTGAGGTTCTGACCTTTTTGTGATTGTCAGAAATCATGTATAGAAGCCTTCCTAATTACTCCCTGGCTTTTGTCCTATTTTTGTGGGGCAGATGGAGAGAACATAAGCAACTCTTTGATCTTGAGAACATTTGTATTTATTGGTGTTTCAAGACAGGGTTTCTCTGTGTAGCTTTGTAGACCAGGCTGACCTCAAACTCACAGAGATCCCGCCTGCCTCTGCCTCCCAAGTCCTGGGATTAAAGGTGTATACCACCACTGCCTGGCTGTTTTACACATCTTAATGGTAAAATCATGAATGCTTGTACAAGTGTCTCCTTTTCACATTCAGAGTTAAGGCAATTCATGTATGAAGAGCCTAGAGCAGTGTGAAAAATGGAGCTCATTTTGTTTGGCTTTGACTGCATGGTTAATTGGATCAGAATACCTTGAGTTTGAGCTGGTGACTCCACCAAGTAGGTGGTTGGAATTTAATGGGAAGGAAATCAGAACTGTACATGTTGGTTGCACTCAAAACCCTTAGAGAGAGAAATAGAAAAACAGTTTTCTCCCACTTAAGCTATTTGTGGACTTTCTGGCTTATTTATTTGCTAAGTTTCCATGGAAATAGTGGGTTTTATTATGACATATTTGTTCATACATGTATTATATATTGTTCTAACTCTTCCCTATCCCCTATTCTCAACTCCTGCTCATTTTTTGTTTCTCTTCCTCCCTCTATTAGTTAATGCTTCTGCTTTCATGACATATGTATTCCATTGCCCTCTTCCATTTTACATCCTCCCCCTCCCTGGACTGGAGATACAACTCAGAGGTTAAGAGCATATATTGCTCTAGCAGAGGACTTGGGTTCAGTTCCCAGCACCCACGTGGTGGTGAAATGATCTGTGTGAGGTAATTATTGACAACCACTCTGATTAAGCCAATGAACAATTTTAGTCCTTTTTATTGATGGCTTGTGGGAGTAGGCTTGTGCCTGCCTCTTGGTGCCTAAACTCAGGGGTACAACATAAAAGACAAACACAAAGACTGTAATTTGCATTGAAGTTAGATGAGAGTCTGAGTAGCCTTGAAACCACCAATTGGGGAACAAGTGTTCAAATGGTTGAGACTATGGGGGACATTCTTATTCAAACCACCACAGTAAGTTTTCAAAGTATAACCTAATGATACTCGGGACTTCACTGGCCTCTTTGGTCATGTGACCTTTTTCACTTCTAACTTTATTAATTAGAATCTTCTCTTTGTTTTAGTTTGGCTAGGGCTTTGTCAATCTTGCTTAACTTCATTGGATTAACAACTCTTTGACTTTGTACCTTGCTCTTTTATCACCATTTATCAGTAGCTGCCCTGGTCTTTGTTATTTGCTCTCTACCACCTTTGGGTTTGGTTTGTTCTGGTTTTTCTAAAGCATTGATGTGCATCATTTGCTAGTTACTTGAGAGCTCCCTGCTTTTCTAATGCTTTTGTAATTTTTAACTCAAAGCTCTAAACTTCCTTTTGAAAATTGTTCTAGTTATATCCCAGAGGTTCTAGTAACTTGTTTTCATTTGATTCTAGAAAATAAAAAATGTTCCTTGTGCTTTCTGATCATTCTGGAATGTGTTTTTCAGTTTCCAAGTACCTTTATAGCTTTTTAAGCTTTAGGCCAAGAGTGTTGTCTGCTTTAGCAAAGCTTCCATGGGCTTCTGAGAATGTGTACTCTGTCTGTTGGAGAGAGTATTTTGTGTACAACAGTGGACCATTAGATATACGGTAGAATTTAACTATCAAGTTTCTTTGATGATTTTTAAAATTTTGATGATTTCTCTTAGCAGTGCTATAAGAAAAGGCCCCCTGTGCCTTGTGGGTTTGAATTCTTGGCCATGCCATATTTCCATGGTGTTAATTCTGTGACTAAATCTCTTACCCAAGAGGACAGTCTATCTCAGGGTTCCCTTTGAATCTCTAACCCAAGATCTTTCAGTATGGTCTTTTGGAGGGTTGGGTTGCTTTTATTTCTACTATGTTTCTGTGTTCTGATTTGTGCATCTGTCGGTTTTGTATCCCTCCCAGGTACTGTGGAGGGTCTTGGTGAGTAGCTCTCATTGGCTCAAAGCTAGTCCACTTCAGGAAGAGAATCTGGGTTAGATGGGTCCTCTGCCTCCCACTCCCCATTGTGTTCAGCACTGTATTGCTTCCTCTGTCTGGGATTACTTCTCAGAGTTTCCCATCTTTTCCTCTGCACTTGTTAAGCGCTCTGTCTTTACCTGTGTGAACTCCCAAAGCTCTTCTCTTTCACCACTTGCTCCTTTACTTTTCTCCCTCCAGCTCCTTCCATGTCTGGTCTATTTTTTTCTTACTCTAGTATTTTTACTTCACCAGTCACATGGAGAGAGCTTCCAGTTTGCCATCTTACCTGGAGTCTTTCTCCTATGTCACTAGTCACATGGAGAGACCTTCCAGTCTGATATCTTACCTGAAGTCTCCTGGACTTTTTCTTTAGAACTGTTTGGGTTGTTGTGCACTTGTGAGAGGTTACCTAATTACATGCTTCAGGACTTCCTGTATCAAAGTCCTGACCCTGTGTTTTAATAACTGAATGAATTTAGCCTCCTCTTCCATACCTCAGTAATCTTACAAAATGGATATGGTAATGGTACCTGCTTCTAAGGATATTAGTAGGAAACTAATTATCTCATACTGTGTGAGTTTACAATCAACCTTTGCTTACATAATGGCGCAACACAGGTATCATCTGTTGTTATTGTCTGCTCTGTGAGTCATGAGTGTTAATAATTTCTATTTTACACCTTGTGATTCTGTTCTAGCTACTCTGCTAAGAGTGAGGATGAAACAGTTGCCTGCAGCGACAGTTCGCCTCCTGTCCAGTTCTCAGATAATCACTTCCGTGGTCAGTGTTGTAAAAGAGCTCATTGAAAACTCCTTGGATGCTGGAGCCACCAGCATCGAAGTTAAACTGGTGAGTGCCCCTGTGAAACAAATGCCTGTGAAGCACAATGAGCCTGACAGATTTTCCTGTTAAATTGTTGCTTTTTTTCCCAGGCATTGGACACTTTGAAATACATTTTAAAGAGTAGATTGTAATTTAAACCAAGATTATAGTAACACTAAAGGAATCACAGAAGAAAACTTAGGCTAGATAAGGGGCCTTTCACCCAAACACTCAGTTGAATGTCTGTTTTCTTTTAATGTGTGTCCTTGGTTATTTATATGACTTAAATTCAGTTTCTGAACACATAGCACACACTTTGCAGTGTGCATGCTGCCAGGACATGCCTACAGTACCTCACCGTGAATTCAGACTGTTGTATGTTGTGAATTATTCCTATTGTACATACTAAGCTTTCTGCTCTTATAGACACATACATATTCAGTTATGAAAACAAAGACTTTAAATATTATCCTACCATCATTCTTCAACATGTAAGCACGTAAATCTCTGTTTTTGCAAATTACTATATTGTGTTAGGGTGTTAGGTTTTGTTATTTGCTGTTTTAGTTAGTGATTACATGAATTTTGGGTTTGGATTAGCATAGCCTTTCTAACAATCCCTGAAATGGCCCTGTTTTAGGTACTTCTCTAATGCTGTGAAGTGACACCATAAACAAGGGCATTTTTAGAGAAAGCATTTAATTGATGGTGGGTAGGTTTACAGTTTCAGAGGGTGAGTCCATGACCATCATGGCAGAGAGCAAAGCAGCAGACAGGCATGGCATTGGAGCAGTAGCTGAGAGCCTGCATCCTTGTCCTCAAGCAGGAAGCAGAGAACACTAATTGGGAATGGTACCGAAGGCCACCCTCTGAGACACACCTCCTCTAAGGCCACACTTGCTAGTCCTTCTCCAAATAAGTCCCACTGGTAAGTAGGACCAAGCATTCAAATATATGAAATTATGAGGGTCATTCCTATTCAAAACACCACATTCCACTCTCTGGTCCTGTATTAGTCAGGGTTCTCTCTCTGTCTCTCTCTCTTTCTCTCTCTCTCTCTCTCTCTCTCTCTGTCTCTGTCTCTCTCTCTGTCTCTCTCTCTGTCTCTGTCTCTCTCTCTCGAGGAATTTATTGGGATGACTTATAGATTGCAGTCCAACAATGGCCAGCTGTGAATGGAAAGTCAAAGAATTCAGTAGTTGCTCCGGCCCACAAGGCTCAACTGGTCTTCTGTATATGCTGGAGTCCGGAAGAAGTAGGCTCCAATGCCAGTGAAGGGATGGATGTACTTACAAGGTGAGGGCAAACAGGTGAAGAACGAACACACACCCTTCCTTCTCTCATTGTCCTTATATAGGCTTCCAGCGGAAGGTGTGACCAAGATTAAAAGTTTGCCTTCTAGCCTCAAGGTCTAGATTAAAGGCGTGTGTCTTCCTTCCTCAAAATCCAGAGCAAAGGCTTGTTTTCTCCTTGCCTCAAGATCCAGATCACAAGTGTTCCCTCCATTTCTGGATTATAGTTCATCCATATAGTTAAGTTGACAACCAATAGCCATCATGGGTCCCCAGAAGTTTATAGCTATATCATAATGCAAGATACATTTACTTCAACTTCCAAAGTCCCCATAGTGATGGAGGAAGTCCTTCTGTGTATATGTCTCTCTTATTGGTTAACAAATAAAACACTGTTGGCCAGTAGGGAAGCAAGCTAGTTGGGACTAGGAGAGAAGGAGGATTCTGGGAAATGTAGTAGGGGAAGTTGCCATGTGATCCCAGGAAGAGAGGATGCATAAGGATGGCGTCCTCAGTAAGATAAGTCCTTATAAAATATATACATCAGTAATTATGGTTGATAATTAAGACTGAGCTAGCAAATAAGAAATCCTAGTCATTAGCAGCAGCGTTGTATCTAATATAAGACTCTGTGTGTTATTTGGGGGTCCTAAAGCTGCGACAGAACCCAGGAAGCTGGTCTCAACACCTTAAAAGTACAAAGTTTCTTCTGAGATTCAAGGAAATCTCTTTAACTGTAACCTTCTGTAAAATCAAAACCAAATTACATACTTCTAACATACAATGGTACAGAATAAACAGGACCACTCAGAAAGGTAGGGAGAGTGTATATTGAGGAGACTTTACCAGCAGGGTAAAGTCCAAATCCTGCAGCTCTGTGTCCATGGCCCTTCAGATCTCCCACTCCTCGATCTTTGTTGTCTGCAGCGCACCCCCCCCCGGGGGGTGTGTGTGTGTTTGTGTGTGTGTGTGTTTTTGTGTGCACGTGCCTGTCTCTGCCTCTCTCATTTCTATTCCCTGATTGCAGTTCTCCTCAGTAGACATCAGAGTTCTGGCATCTTCACCATCTTGGAGTCTTCAACACGATGCAGTCTTTCTTTTCTGGGCTGATGTGCAGGGACTCACTCCCCTGTCACTAAGACCAAGGGAAAACATTACACAGCCCCTTTACTCCTGCTCCTTGGATTACATTTGCAGAAGGTTTGATTCCTTGATGGTTTTCTTTGTTGCATAAGTTCCTTTGCCTTTTCTTTACACAGTTTGCAGAATTAAGCTGGGTGAGGTCTTGCCCTGAGGTCACACCCCCTCCCCCCAATATCTTTCAGCACAAAGCCATGCTCCAACATGATATTATATTCTCTTGTGCTCTTTTGATGGTCAAAATGTGATTATATCTCTTTTTGCTCTGTGTTTGCTCCTTTACAGTGAAGCTCTGCATATCAGTCTTCACTAGTAACCACATGACAGTCATCCTAGACTGTCTTGAAGTCTCTTCTAAGGACATTAACCCAAAGCTCTTCAATGTAGCCTGAAGCAGATTCTTAGGACAGGGGTAAAAAGTCTACATTCTTCACCAAAATATCAAAAGAACTGGGTCTCTAGCCTAGTTGCTAGTATTTGCCTCTGAAACGTCTTGATCTAGGCCTCCATAATGCAGATTGCTTTCAGCACTACTGTATTCCAAGATTGTACTAGGATGACCCAGCTTATGTCTCAGTTACTTTTCAGTTGCTATGAAGAGACACCATGATGTAGGCAATTTAGAAAGTTTAGTTGGGGGCTTGCTTACAGTTTCAGAAGTAAGTGAGTCTGTTGTTATCATGGCAGGGAGCATGGTGGCATACAGGCAAGCACAGTTCTGGAGAAGTAGCTGAGAGCTACATCCTGACCCGAAAGTTGGAAGCAGAGAGAGAAACTGGGCGTGAAGCTTACCCTAAGAGACACAGCTCCTCCAACAAATCCACACCTCCCAACTTGGTGCCACCAACTAGGGACCAAACACTCAAATATGGGCCTATGTGGGCCATTATAATTCAGAGCGCCATAGACCCTAAATGCATTTATGCAGTTTTATATAACATACTTACACAGAGTGTGTTATGAGCATTGGCAATTATAGAATCAGATCAAACCTGAAAGCTTTGAAGTTCTGTTCTAAAATAGCAAATGTTCCTCCATGATTTAATTATGTAAAAATAAGCACCTCTACCTAGCTCATTGGTTTGTAAATATGTATTCATCGTTAATAAGTGGTAAGATTATCTGTATAACAAGGTATAAGTTCAGTTAATACTGGATTTGTATAGTAGAGACAGGTAGAACTTTGGTGAGTAAAAAGAAATTATGGATGGAAAAAGTTTAGGAAGCACTAACAGTGCTTGTGACATATCGCAGTTATTTTTGAATATTTACCCCCTCATTTTAAATTTCAAGCTGAGAGTTATACCCTATATTTTTGTGTCCTCCCTACCTGTGTCTTATCTACCATATACTAGGAGTGTAAGCTTATGTTACTGAAAGTAAGAATCTGGTTTTTAAAAATCTAATTATCAGATATTTCCCTTATTGCTAGTACTGTGACATCATAATTCTGACAGGTATACTCTGTGATAAAATGATCTCACTTTGATGTATTATTACATAAAATTCAGATGGCTATAAATCCCAAGCTTCTCATAAAAATTGTATTGACTATTTTACAAATAATCAATGCTCCTCAAACTTGCCTAAGTCACTTCATTAACTAACAGCGAGTCTGAGATTGGAATCAAATGTCCCTGACTTCAGGTTCCTTGTCTATGTCCATGATCTTAGGGTGTTTGGGGGTACATCAGGTTAAGTTGGGGTATTTGTTAGGTAGTTACCAACCTCTACTCTTTTTTTTTTTTTTTGAGACATGTGTTAATAGCCATGGCCTCCTGGAACTCACTCTATAGACCAGGCTACTTTTGAACTCACAGAGATCAGTCTGCTTCTGCCTCCCGAGTGCTGGCACTATGTTCTGCTCATACAATTTCAGATTATAAATGAGGCTTGAGAGTGTCCATACTACATACACTGCTGTACATCCAGAGAGTGTACAACTCCTGCTGCTGCCACCACTGTACCAAGGAACACAATTAATTGTAGGATGTCTGCCCAATTGTGCCTTTAAATCAGCAGTTTTCAACCTGTAGGTTAAGACCCCTTTGGGGGTCAAACCACCCTTTCCCAGGGGCCTCATATCAGATAGCCTGCATATCAGATATTTACATTACGATTCATGACAGTAGCAAAGTTACAGTTATGAAGTAGCAACAAAAATAACTTTATGATTGGGGATCACCACAACATGGGGAGCTATATTAAAGGGTCACAGCATCAGGAAGGTTAGGAACTACTGCTTTAAATAATATGCTATGTGCTTAAGATGTGAAAAACAAGTTTATTGAATTAAAACCAAAGAGTGACTATTTTTCTTAGGCATTTCATATAATTAGTTTGAATAGAGTACAAGTGACCATCTCCTTATATCTGACAGATATCATTTAAGACTCCTAGGGAGGCAAAGATATATCTCATCCTTACTTCCTCTGGGTCTTTACCTTTTCCTCTTTTTTGTTGATCTCTTGAAATGTGTATCTTGTTCTTAAGTGACTCTGGGAGAAATTTTGTTTTTAAATAATGTTAACAAGTCAGTGGAAATGTTCTTACAGAAGTAACTTAATACTGTCACTTAGTCATTTCTTTACTGTTGGCATTGACCACTACTTAGCTGGGTCTGATCCATACACTTAGGCCTGTATTATTCTGATTCTGAACATATGTTGGTATTGTTTTAAACACTCATGGGGATTTTTTATGTTGTTCAGATTTCTGGAGTTATTTATGTTGTAAGATTTACATTTCTCTAGTTGATGTTTTTCTCTGTTGTTTGATAAGATGGAGCAGACGTGCTGTTTCCAGAATGTCAGCCGAATTTTAGATTGAGAATCATGTGAGAACTGAAATCTTAGGAATGTCCTGATAATGCTCTGTATGCCTAGTTTATTTTTAAAACTATGGACCAAGTATTATGTGACTTTAGGTTATTAAAGTGTGGTATCATTGTATAATATGGAGGCATTGTAAATCCTGGAAGATTTCCTGTTTGTAGTTGGCCCTGTGGTGATGTCTGTGGAGCTTTTCTGAATGAGGCTGATGATAGTTGGTGAGCGTATTTAGAATGTGGCATCCATGGCAAGCAGAGTCCTTATAGGAATGTGGTTTCTCTTGTGAATATGCAGCTTAGTATCATAGAATTAAGCAATGGACGGAGTTTGCTTTCTTAATTTTCAAATCTAAAAGAGATTGCCAAGTTAGATATATTTTCTCAACAATTTTCTGTTTGGTGATATCCTATAATGAGAAATTTAGAAAATTATAAGATACTAAATACTTTTTTTTTCAATGAAAGCAACAAGGGAGAACTTGATAAAAATAAGACTAAATAAGCAGGGGGGCTGGAGAGATGGCTCAGAGGTTAAGAGCACTGACTGCTCTTCCAGGGGTCCTGAGTTCAATTCCCAGCAACCACATGGTGGTTCACAACCATCCATTATGAGATCTGGTGCCCTCTTCTGGTGTGCAAGATATACATGGAAGCAGAATGTTGTATACATAATAAATAAATAAAATTTAAAAAAATGGTTGTTGGATTCTTGGTGAGCAGAGCCAGTGGGTTTTTGCTGGTGATAGTGTTTTATTTCATTTGGGGAATTATATACATAAAAGCTGTGTCAGAACTTTTAATTTAAGTTTAAATATAAATTACCACAAATACTTATCCTAGTAAAAAAGTTAATAGAACCCTCAGGAGATTAGCTTGACCTCCTTGTGTGACGATCCTTGTGTAGAGGCACAATTAATAGAGCTAAAAAATAGAAGCTCCTGTTTGCATAGTGTTATATTTCTTTCAAAGTTGCTAAATAGCCAGGTTGTTTAATTTGCACGTCTACATGTGATTACAGTTTAATGTTTTTATGAACTAAAAGATTCCTAACTTTCCATCGTAGGAGAACTATGGATTTGATAAAATTGAGGTTCGGGACAATGGCGAGGGCATCAAGGCTGTGGATGTACCTGTGATGGCAGTGAAATACTACACCTCAAAGATAAACAGTCATGAAGACCTTGAGAACCTGACAACCTATGGTTTTCGGGGTGAAGCCTTGGGGTCAATTTGTAGTGTTTCGGAGGTAAGGAAATTTATATCAACTAAGTTATTAATTGCATAATGACCAAATATTAGAATTAAGAGTAAACAAATTCATTGTCAGAGTACCTTTAGTTTCTTTAACTTATGGTAAAATACACTTAATATGAAATTTACCATTTTCAACAACAATTGGTGGTGTTAGGTACGTTCACATTATTGTGTATTTAGCAGCTATCCATTTCTAGGTCATTTTTATCTTCCCAAGTTACAACCCAGTACTCATTAAACAAAGCCCCTTCCCTCCCTCTTCTCCTGCATCTGGCAGCTACCATTCTACTTTCTACCTCTATCAATTGATTTTACAGGTACTGCATAAAAGTGGAAACATTAGACCTTTTGTGTCTGGCTTATTGTACTTCATATAATGTCTTCAAGTTTTGTGTCCATTATGTTGTAACACTTAAAGGACTTCCTAAACCAGGTGTGTTTATGCCTGTAATTCTAATGCCAGGGAGGCTAGCCTGGGCAACATAGTGAAATATATCAGTATGTATACATTTTATTTATGTGTTCATTTGCTGTTGGATTCTTGCCTTGCTGCTACCTTCTGGTTCCCATGAACAGTGTTGCTTTGATCACAGGTGTTCAAATACTTATTTAGGTTTTGCCATCACAGCTTTTTAGTGAAGTAGCCTTGGTATTTCATAAGATAATTCTGTCTTTAGTATTTTATGTTTTGTGATGATATTATTTATTAGAGGAGGTTGTTTGGTAGACCATTCTCTTGGAAAGGTTGTTTTTTAAAAGTCAATCATTTAACTTTAGCACTTCTTAGAGCCCTTTTCTATCCTAAAATGAGGTTGTGAGTCTAAAGGTAGTCTATAGTATGTGTACTTTCCTGTACCTGCTTGATCAGGAAATCCTGCTCTTAAAAGGCATGCCACTGAATTCGTTTTTAAGTCTATGGAACACACTGTGGAAATCCCACTTTGGTAAATGTAGTTGATGAGATTGAGTTCTGCATCTGTGAATTGACTTGTCCTACCCCATAGATACCTAGGGCCAGAGGGGCTCCTGCAGCTTGAGTCATGTGACTGCTGGGTAGGCATCTGTCTTTTTTTTTTTTTTTTTTTTTTTTTTTTTTTTGGTTTTTCGAGACAGGGTTTCCCTGTGGCTTTGGAGGCTGTCCTGGAACTAGCTCTTGTAGACCAGCTGGTCTCGAACTCACAGAGATCTGCCTGCCTCTGCCTCCCGAGTGCTGGGTTTAAAGGCGAGCACCACCAATGCCCGGCCACCTGTCATTTCTTTAACCCCCAAATGTCAGTGCCTGGCATACTCAGTTGTCAGACACTGTTACTGCTCTGGATTTTATAATTACTGTAACATGAGTCTCTTGTTTCTGTGTATTTCAGTTGTTTTTGATTATATGCCTTGACTAGCCTCCTTTATTAAACTATTACTGTGAAGGTATTGGGCCTATTACTGATTGAAGGTGTCTGTGTGCTGGTAAGGGTGACAGTAACTGTGAGGGTCTCTTTAATTACTGAAACTTTTCCCATAGCCGTGTGTGTGTGTGTGTGTGTGTGTG